GTGCCTCCCATCTACTCCCCCCACCCCTATCGAGTAACAATTGTGCCAACACGCTCCCACTCGCCACACACAGCCCACACACACACACTCATACCCGTGATGGCCTAAGACCCTACCAATACCGACAATGGGGAGCAAGCCAACTTTCTCAGTTAGTCGGCACCAGCTGTGCCCCAGGCGGCAAGTGGGGATTGAATCCAAGACATCATGAATGCCACTTGTATGCCTAACCAACTGAGGCCCAATTTGACCTCTCACGACCTACCTACTACTACTCCTAAGCCTATACAGGAGACCCCCGCAAGCATAGCTACCTCTCACAATCAAGGGGACACATGTTGGCCCCTGCGCTAATCGGCAGTGGTCAGGAAGGAGGGTGGGGTCGCCGGTGGGGGGATCTGGCTAATGCAAAGACCGAGCATTTGGCCAGTAGCTGTGCCGCCTATCTACTTCCCCCGCCCCCATCGACTAACAACAGTATCTATGGTCCACACTCACCCTCTTCTCCCCTCCCCCCCCCSCCCCTGCACCCGCACACACAATCACCCGTGATGGCCAAAGACACTACCAGTACTTACCGGGGGGAGCAAGCCAAATATCTCAGTTGGTTGGCACTACCATCTTCACCCGAATATAGCACCTCATTATGGCTGTATTGGGGCCACTTTTCAGTCCAGATGGAGCGATAATGACTGGGTGTTCTATTCGGGTGAAGACACTAAGAGTGCCCAGGTGGTCAGTGGGGACTAAACCCACAACCTCCTGAAAGCCACTTGAGTGCCTAACCAGTGGAGCTAAGGTCATCGTCCCCAAACACACTCACCCTCTGCTCCCCGCTCCCCCCCCCCGCCCCTGCACACACAATCACCCGTGATGGCCAAAGACACTACCAGTACTTGCTGGGGGGAGCAAGCCAACTATCTCAGTTGGTTGGCACTACAGTCTTCACCCGAATATAACCCCTGTTCATTATGGCTGTATTGGGGGCACTTTTCAGTCCAGATGGAGCGATAATGACTGGGTGTTCTATTTGGAACTGACATTTCGTTAAAACTGACTTTTTTTCTAAATTCACGAAAGTGATCTTAGTCAAAATTTCATTGCTCATTGGGTGAGAAAGTGGATATCTCACCTTGTCCATCTGATGTACCTCAATGTAAAGTACCGTTAACATACATCCGATGGTCAGATCATCGGGAGTCGCCACGACACCCGATGATCTGATCATCCGACGTCATGGGGACAAAAAAACACTAAAAAATGTTGTTTTTTGGTACACTCATTTTCGTGAATTTAGAAAAAATGTCAGTTTCGGGTGAAGACACTAAAAGTGCCCAGGTGGTCAGTGGGGACTAAGCTCACAACCTCCTGAAAGCCACTTGAGTGCCTAACCAGCGGAGCTAAGGCCGTTGTCCCCAAAGGGAAACAGAAAACACCGACTGTTTGATAAGGCTTTTTTTTGGGGGGGAAAGGACAACAGCTTTAAGATATTATTATCCAGCTGACCGGTCCCAGGTCGTTTAACTAATCTATATTCTTCTCTCGATCTCTCTCTATAGTTTTCCTCATCTATCTCATCCTCTCCCTACTCTAAGTACAGTAAGGGGGAACACCAACCAACCTGGATCTCTCCCTAGCCCACGGGGTAGGTTTGCACTGCAGTGGACCAGACTGAGTGGTGGTGCGAGCGCAAGCTGTACCAGTCCCTCATCACAATGATGGGGGTTGGGCAGGCATTGCCGAAGGGGAAACCAGTGGTGCTAGTGCCAATGGTGGTGTGAGAGCAAGGTTGTACCAGCCTCTCATCACTGTGATGGGGGGTGGGCAGGCATTGCCGACGGGGAGGCCGGCAGTGCTAGTCCTGACTCGGCGAGCACTGTGGCCGCTGGCACCAGCAGTGGTGTGAGAGCAAGGATGTACCGGCCTCTCATCACGGTGATGGGGGGGTAGGCAGGCATTGCCGGCAGGGAAATGCGCGGCCCTAGCACTATGGCCAGCTGCTGCCAATGCTGGCTTGGGGGGCCCACGGGTTATCTCTACCTGGTAGAACACCAAGCATGCCCAGGCACGTACGTGAGGGCAATGCGAATTGAATCCACGATCTCCTGAGTGCTACTTCTGTGCCTTTCCAATAGAGATACGCAGCAGGCCCCTCAGGTCATTCTGAATTCCATTCATCTACTTCGATCTGGATTCGAACTGAGGTTTGTTTCAAAAGTCCATTTGTGGACCAACTGAACTAGGCGCGTTGGTGGATAGGCTTTTTGCCTTTCGTTCTTTTTCGGATAAGCTTTTTTCTTTTCTTCCTTTTTTTTTTTTTGTTTTTTTTTGGGGGGGTGGATTCTCTTTTTTTCTTCGTTTCCTAGCTCCGTTGGTTAGGCACGGAAGTGGCTTTCAGGAGGTCGTGGGCTCAGTCCCCACTCAACCACCTGGGCACGCCTACCGGGAGCCTCCTCACCCGAATAGAACACCCAGTCATTATTCCTCCGTCATGACCGCAGTTGGATAAGCTTCTAGAGCAGATGGCAAACATGGAAGTCCTTTTTTTTCTTTTTTTTTTCTTTTTAGAAGTCCATTTTTAATTCATTTGGATAAGCGAGGACCTTTCGGACTGATTCTCTGAACGCAACAGTTACCGCGGTCAGATACATGTAGCGCCGTCCGTAATTGCGGTCAGATTCGTCCGCATAGTGCTAGTGTGAGTAGCACGACGCTTAAAGATAAAAGAGAACGGAACTTCAAGAAGCTCGTCAGGTCTGCTCAACGAGGACCTCGTCCCGCTGCTTCTCTTTTTTTTTTTTAGTATGAAAATTCAGAATACACAGGCCCCCGCTGCTTCTCTCAAGATATATATATGCTCACACTAGCACTTTCCTAGACGCATCTGGACGCAAATGCGGTCAGGGCTGGAGGAATCTGACTGCAATAGTGTCCAGAGCTTACAACAAAACGTCCTATGCCCTCACTGAGCCCCTCCCCCTCCCCCTCCCCCCCTCCTTACCGATCACTTCTCATCATCAGCGAACGTACAGACCACTCTCAGTTTTTTCCTTGGTTTTGTTTTTTCCATGCTCGTTCCGAGCTAGTGCTTTTTCCTCCATACCTTTTCCTGGCCAATGGCCTTCTCCTCCGAAATCCACCGCATCCCAACGTCTTCCCTCCTCCTCTCCTCCTCTCTCCTCCTCCTCTCCTCCTCCTCCTCTCCTCCTCTCTCCTCCTCCTC